TATATTTAAAATTTTATATAAATTAAATAAATATTTATTAAATATAATCAAAAATAAAATATTTGATTTTTTTATTACATACTGTAGCTCTTTATAATTATTGAAGTTTTCTTTTTTATTATATAATTATAAATTTAATTATAAAATATTTTTTATTATAACTCAAAATAAAACTAGTATTATTTATTTTAATATATATTTTTTTAAATTTTTAAATTTTTTAAAGAATTATTCTAATTATATATAAAGTTAATTATTGTTTTTTTAATTATTAATTCAAAAAATCTCAAAAAAATATTAAAATAAAAAATTCTAGTTTATTTTGAACTAATAATAAAAATATTTATTTATAAAATTAAAACTTTTATTATAATAAATACTCTATATTTTATTATTTATAATTAGTAAAAGATTCAAGTATTGAATTATTTTATTATTATTTATATATTTTAAATCAAATTTAAGAATTAATATTATTTATTAATTAAAAATCTTTTAAATAAATCTAAATGATTAGATAGTTTAATTTTTTACTTAATTTTATCCTGAAATAATTCAAATTTTAATTTTAATTCAGAAAATATAGATTATAAATATTTTATTAATTAATGAAAAATTTTTTATAATTATATAATTTATTTTTAGTAAAAACTGGTTAAAATTTATTTGAGTTTTTAATTATATTTCATATATAAATAATAAAAATAATATCACACATTAATAAATTAAAGATCAGACTAATTTTTAAATAACTTATAATAGTTTTCCAGTTTTGTTAAGTGAGCTGACCGGATATAATGGAGACTTAGTTTTTATTCCTGTGAATAATCCCAACTTCCATTGGAGTTTATTGATTTATGAAGTTAAAGAAAAAAAATTCTATCAAATAATATTAATTTATTTTAGAAAAAATTAATTAAAATTCATTTGAATTCTGATTAACTTTTGAAATAATTAAAATAATATTCATTTATTTCTAATAAAAAACAAATTAAATTTTATTTGACTTCTAATTATTTTATTTAAAAATTAAAACCTAACTAACTTCTGATTAAAATTCATTTAGTATATTAGTTTTCATTAAGAAAACAAAAAATTATTTATAGAAAATATCCAGTAAAATTAAGTTTTCTTCAGAAATATTAATAAAACCAATAATAAAAAACTAGAATTTTTGTATTAAAAACAAACAGATTTTTTCTTTGACTTTTATACCATGTGATTTGATTGGTTTATCCTTAAAATCACGAGATTCACATCACATATTTAAGATCCCAATCAAATTGTATAGCATAAAGATTAAATTATGATTAGAATTAGGATAAAGAAAAAGCAAAATTTCGCGAGGAAATTTTTTAGAACACAAGTAATTTTATCGGCAAAGATTTGCGATTTGATTGGTTTACCCTTAAAATTACGGTGTTCGCATCACGTGGTACAAAAAAAAGCTTAAGGTTAAAATAAACAAGAGTATTTTATTTTCTAGGATAGCTTATTTCCTCCCAAATTGTATAATAAATGTACGTATATTCGATGACAAAGGCTCATTTTTAGTTTGCACTTTTACTACTTGGAAAGTTTGAGTTCAAAGCAAACAATTTAAAATCGACTTTGCACTAAAGAAACCGATTAAAAAAATTTTAAAGAACATTTATATATTAAATATCAGTTTAATCTGAACATCAACAATTTCATATCGATATTAGATTAGTTAAGGGCGATTTTTATATCTGATCTGATTAATAAAGGAAGGATCAATCAAATAAGCTTTGAATTATTTAATGATATATCAATATGTCAACCAGCTAATTCTCCAGTATTTTTGGAACTCTTTGCTGTATTTTGAAGCTTAGAACATAAAATCGTATTTTTGTATTCACGCTTCTCCTTTTGATTATAAAGTTTGATTATCGTTATTTTATGGGCGATTCAATACATATCGATATACATGTGGTCGGATCTAACAAAGTTAGTATGGTATGCTATATTCACTATTATTTTTATCCTGAACCAATAACGATAGTAAATCCTTTCCGGTGTACATGTACATGTATTGTCATACAAAATACATGTAATGCTTTTCTGTTAGCGTAGCGCCTCTCAGGAAATTGGACAGCTACAGCTTCTTTAAAAGTCACACTGAAGTAAAACTGTAGGTAATACAGCAGATGCAGTTAAATTTAATACGTTCATCTAATGCAATCATTTCAAAAATTGAAATCATATAGATTTCTTGTGTCAAACTCATACATGAACATGTAATTAAAACCGTGTACATGTATTTAAACTTTTTAATTACAGTGTTATATATAAATAAGACTAATAATGAGCGCAATTTCCTGGATCATTAATTAATCATATTGACAGTTTTTTTGCTAGTAATGAAATCTCTCGAGTAAACGGCAGGCCCCAATTTTTGTTTACATTCATTACGAAAATGTCGATCAAATTGCGTGATTAAATTAATGCAAATAATTGCATCATCAAATACACAGAACGCTTATCATTATTTTTCACAACCGATTAACAAAACAACCTATATTCTACATGGTGATTTCCCAAACAACAGCAAAGAAAAATTAAAAATATGGCAGCAAACCTTATAGGTGCAGTAATAGTTGGAATATCAATCACGTTAACATCACATTCATATCTTCGCTTAAAGCTATTAAAAACAAATGGTCACGAAATAATGCTATTAAACATTGCAAACATTTTCACACTCGCGAACGAAATAGCAATTCTAACACTATGCTACGCGAGTCAAGGATTTCTCAGTTCGGAAATGGTCCCATGTCTAAGTTTTTTATCGAATCTCGCCTACTGTATTACAAAACCTGCAATGATATATTTGGCATACTTGCGCGTTTCATATATTTACAAGAAATATCGACAATATTGTATATATCATTACTGGCTTTTGGTGTGTAGGATAATAACTATGGTGGTGTTGTTGTCGTCGGAATTAGCATTGTATCTGGAGTGCAAGGAAATCAATAATGAGTCATCAACAAAATGCCAAAAGTTGAACGTTTTTTGGAAAATAGTTGCGATATTTGATTCATTATGGCAAATTTACTATATAGTATCTGAAACAATATTTTTCTATCATCTAATGACACAACTGAAAAATATAAACAAAGATGCGAATACGAAAATTATTCGATACACGCATTTTCAGACAATCTTATTTTTTATTGACATTCTTCAACTGATTGCAATCGGCATATACAAATGCAAATTTCTTCTCAAGGCATCGTTTCCTTCATTTTTTTATTTTGAGATTCTGAGTTGCGCGTTCACCGTTTACAACATATCACAGTTTGGCATCAGAATCCCGAGATCATTTCGTGATTCACCGTATAAGGATGGGGAAGTTTCACCGGTACCAGTCAAATATCAAGATTCACCGAAATATGATATTTATCTGTCTCATTTGAATGATAATCAACTGGACACAGAAACAGACTCATTTGTTTATAATTCCATGGGTAACACTCACGGTCCATTAGACGAACAACATCATTCCAACTTTTCGGAGGGAAATAATTCAAATAATTCTGATTCATTAGCTATTCAAACACCTTCGAGGGCAAAGACAAAAGACGATCGGGATGATAAAAATTGCATTGAATTTGCGTATTGCTATACTGACGATGATGAAAACATTAATCTAACATCCGCATCCAGATCAAATATCTAAAGGGGAGGGCGTTATTTTTTAAGCATTAAAATTATTATTTACAGTGTCTCACTTATGCAAATTTTGTGAAAAAAGATTTAGAGCTTCCATTATCGATTAAATGTACATGTACTTTGTTCCTATACATTTTAAAATTAAAAATATCTAAAAAATATGTTGATATTGCCATTCTAAGGAAATTAAGTGTATATGAATGTTTTTAATTGTGAATTCAAATATTTTGCTTTGACATCTACATGTGACATTATTTAGCACCAATTCTTCAGTTATTTTAATGTTAGCATAATTTGACTCTAATAAGTCGACGAATTAGTGAATTCCTGTTCATGTTCATGTACATGTATTATATCGATTATAATGTCAAAACAAATGCATGTATTTAGAGTTAAAATTCACTAATTAAAACATCAACTTAATTTCCTCAGAATGACATATTAACATATTTTTTAGGTGTCGCTCAGCTTTAAGGAAACCAGATACATTTAATCGATATTGGAAGTGCTAAATGTTTTCGTAAATTTGTTACTATCCAAATTTGATAAAGTTCATCTATAATGAATCATGCTGATCAAACTAAGAAACTAATTATCTCTCGATCAAATAAGTAACATAGCTTTGAAAATGATTCTGTTAAAATATGAATAAATTTGTGGTCCCATTGCAACCGTCTCGTCCTTTTATTTCAAATAAAAAGAAACAAGATTGCTACAAAATCAAAGTCCACCAAAATGCTTTATGTTCATATTGTTATGATTAATTAGGACGCTACCCGGTGCCGCATCTTATGCCACATGCACCATCATTTATGTTTGAATCTCCTAGTCTTTTTTCGGACGATGTTGAACCTTTGGGCGACTTAGTTCCTCCACTTGACAGTAATTTCGTCCCGAAAGAAACGAATACATTCAATTGAAAATCCGCGAAATTCACTTTGACGACGAGGTTTACGCTTCGTCGGAAAATTATGGTTGGACCTTTTGCAACTTTTCTTTTGATATATCGTTACATGTTCCGAAAATTCGAAGTCAAAGTGGCGAATCTTGGAAAATTTTAGATTCCAATTTTAGCCGCGTTAATCTCTATCGAAAGAGTCGGTGTTCACGGGCTGGCGATTACGCTCGCAAAGGTGCAAAAAGATTCGGTGTGAATTTTTTAACACTTTTTATAATATGACATGAGAACAGAAGTTAGCTTATTAATTATATTATATTTCCGATTTCTATCATATCAAATGATGCTCATAATCCAACAAAGACTCAAACAAACTTAAAACACTCATTGGTAGTCATCCATCTTTTTGACAATTGTTAATAACGATAATATATTTCTGATTTTTCTCTATCATTATTAGAGAAAACATCTACTATGATCTTCTATATGATAGATAAAATCCCGTTAGTGCCGGTCAAGAAATCATCGCTATTTGTCAATAACAACCATGACAACGAGAATACACTTTGCAAACGCTGTCACAAAGACGTGATTCAGATTGTAGAAAAAGTGAAAATTCAATTCTTTAATTACATGTATATGTATTATAATTTTTTTGAAATTAATTTATATTATTAATAGATTGATCCAGTCAGCGCAAACAAATCGATAATCGACATAAAAGATACGTTTTTGGCGAGTTTCATTACGAATCGAATGAACAAGGAGAAGAAGAAACACTCGATTTCGAAGTGCCGGTCTGTATGAATTATGATGAGTTTAAGAGCGTGGCTCAGTCAACTTGTAATATCCCAAAAATTCACGAAATCATGTGCAAGCTCGTCAATGGAACTGGAAATGTGGAGTTGGTAAAGATTCGTAATGATAATGAATGGAAAAATGTTATCGAGTTACTTGGAGATACAACGGAGTTGAATTTTTGGTGGACTTAATAAATGGATAAATTTTATTGGTTTATTTTTTCTTTTCTGTATCTATTTGCTATTTATTATCAGTACAGTCAGCACAGAAAGTAATGGCGGACATGTTTTTCGACTATAACTTAATAAGAAATTGCTAAAAATTTACGAAAATTTGGCATTATATTCTTTAAGATGACGGAAACAAAATTTTCTAAGGTCACAAAGCATCTCGATAGCTTCATTTTCGATTATAACACGATATATTAATTGTGTGGTTGAATAGCTGGTGCTTCAATTCTATAAAGTACTTAAAATGCTTTGCTAATTTGTTATTCTGCTTCAACTTCATTCTCATCTTTGTCCTTGAAATTATTTAATCACAGGAACTCTATTAGGATGCACAGTCTCTAATGCCAGAAAAGTTATTACCTTCTAATGTCATATTATCGCGCATACTCACCTAATTTCATGCAGATAAACTCATCTCCTGGAAATTTGTTGAAAACATTCCAGAAAATCAGAGATCGTTTTAGAACATATTTGTACGTATAAGTTGTTCATATTAAAATGTATAGTTAGATTAGAAACTTTGAAAACAAACAATTAACACCAGCAGAATAGGGTAGGTTTCATTTTGGATAAAACCAGGGCTAAATAATTACGAAATCATTGTTTTTTGTCCAAAAAATCCTGGTTAACCAAATCATTTTAATCCCTTCACCGTTGATACACGTACATGTATCTTGTCAAAATCCCAATGCTGGTTAACCTTTCAAAAAGTTGCATCTCCACACCGCTTTTTACCTGCACAGGTGAAATTTACCCTGTTCGACCAGTGTAACATCAACATTAGTGACATTCCAAAAGATAAATGGATAATTCTATTTACTGTGTTATTTGATGCTACTGCCACTTTCATGTGGTGTTAAAATAACATGATAACAAACTGTGAATTGTGTTCGACGCCAAGTTTCATATCTTAAATCATTTAGATTTCGATTGCGAACAATGATACACTAATATAAAGATACACAAAGTGTCCCGGACCTCGAGGAGGATATGAAATTACGACATAATTTATTGTGCGCCAGGCCAAAATATAAACGCTACTTGCATCAAAAGAAAAAAGAACGCCACAGTAGTTCTTACACTAAAGAAGTCTTGGATATCGAAGCCTTACCTATCTATATGACAAAGGTCTCCCGATACGGCTATACCATATCATATTGTGAACTCTGTTTGTGCGATACTTTTCGATCGCAGTTTTCGTTAAGGACTTCGGATAATCAGATAATTGACAAATACGATACAAAAGCAGAGGAGCTTAGGTGAAATATAAACCGTCATATAGCATATAGCTGAATGGAATCTTTTGATAAATTACAAATTCATGAACGAGGAGCTAGGTGCAAATTATTCTAAATTTATGAAATCTAGCCATTCAAATGACAATTCCTGCAAGAAATAATTTTTTGAGCATAATTTATTTTGAATTCATTTGAAACTTGAAATTTTCCTTTAGATAAAACAATAACTGGCTTTATGAGCTGGATATAATCACATACTTCCTTGGCGTATCCAAGATCCAAGTACCCAATTACATGGTGAAACTCGTTAATCCGAAGATTAATTTGTACCGTTTAATCCGAAACCAATCTGATCACACAAATCACGTAAGACCAATTAAATTAAGCACGCCAACTCTATGTGCATGTAATAGAGTATTGGACTTTGTAATAATTAGGGATGAGCAAAATTTCCGATTCATTAAAACTATGTTCTATATTGATCTGATACGAAATCCTGAAGAAAACAATCCCGAATATTCATAAACCCGAATAATAGAAATCCCAAATAAACGGCATTCCGAATGCTCGAAATCCCGAAAGAACGAAATCCCAAATAAACGGTATCCTGAATGAACGAAATCTCGAATGAACGACATCCCGAATATCGAAAACCAAATGCACGGAATGCCAAAATTACGATTTCGTGCTTTCGGATGCTGTTCATTCGGAATTTCGTTCTTTCGGGATTTCGAACATTCGGGCTATGAGCGTTCGGATTGTGTTCTTCGGGATTTCAACGTCACCGGAATTTTTTGTTTAATAAGAGAGCAAATTAACTAACAATATAAAGTTTATTTTATTGAATTTATAATTTTTTTGCTTTCATAAAAAGTTTATTATGCATTTAAAAGTTTTAGATCTCACTTTTTCACAAATGGAAATTAGATAAAAAATTAAAGCAGTAAATTTCATATGTCAAAAACAATAAATATATGATAACATTGTTGTTTATTCAATTTATTTCGTTCATATATAAACAATACCTGCAAGATATGATTTGTGATGGTAATTGGAACAATTTGAGATAATAAGAACATGTATAGTAGGAGTTATTAGTTAAGAAAGACTTATCATATTCACTCTCTAGTTGAATTAATAGTGATGATGAGATTAATGATTTCTTGATCAGCTACTATAAAAAGACATTATATTTGGAATCGAAACAGTTACATAAACCAAAATTCCAATTCAAAAACTTACCAACATCGCTATGTATTCTTATGTTAAAAAGTAAATCAATAAAGTATTTTCATAAAATAACAATTAATAAGGGCTATAGCTACATACGTAATGTCAATATAAATTAAAGAGTTTTTAATATGAAATATGCATCGAAGTTATTCTGAAAAATATTTCCTGAATATTTTACAGATTACATGTCTGATGGCGTTTATATATATGATGAAATCGATAACGATAAGATCACTAAATGCAAATCGAAAGGACATTAAATAGATATTGCTAAATTGAGTGATTTCAATTGCTAACTCATTAGCATGAATCTGCCAGGAGATTCGACACTTTTGCGTAACATGTGATCTATTAACCCGATCCGACCCTCTTAAAATATTTTACCAAACAGATTGCAAGATCAGTGTGCAATGTAAAAATTTCAAAACCAAGTTTATTTTTTGAATTCAAACATCTCCATTGGGAGTTATTCTAATCATAATAGTTAAGAGAGTTGTATTATAACAAAATTGCACAAGAAAAATTTTTTATTAGACTAAATTTTAAGTATATCCAATTTTTTAAAATGATCCTAATTTTTCATTGGTTAATTTTTTGATTAGATTATCACGTAAACGAAAAATCGATCCTACACCCTCGGATAAGAAAAAAGGGAACCATAAATCCACAAAAGTATCGAGTCTCTTGGCAGACTCCATTAGTATAGTTGTTAAATTGAATCTTATATCATTTATAATATGCCAGTGATCATTGGATTTTATAAGAAAAGTTGTCATCTGTATTTGTAAATTTTGATGCTTATTTTCATAATAATTTGCATAAATTATTTATGATTGTTAATTAAACTAGATTTTTCGTGGTCATCAGTGTATTCTATCATTGGTTAAAAAAGTAATCATTCTAAAGAATTATTGAGTAAGAATTTCTTGATATATCCCTCCAAGAGATTAATAATTTGAGGAATAATCCAAGTTGGTAATTGAGAAATGATAAGATAATAAAAGGGGATAAACTCCATTAAGAAAATGTCTTCTTTTTAGAGCTATAGAATCACGTCAGCATCACGAGACTATCATACATAAATGAATTACTAGCGTAAACATAAAATTTATTTATGAGAAAAAAATTTTCTTTTAATAATATATCGGTATATGTCATGGGAGATTACACATTCCTCCAATATATTACAGGAAATCTTGAAAACGAATCTGCCACTTTGAAATTCAATATCTCTAAATCCAATGATCCAATTTAAATGAAAATACTTTCATTAAATTTGTCCTGGCTCCACGAATCTTATGGAAATATATTCATTTAGATGGATCACTTGTTTTTGAGATATTGGACTTCAAAATGATAGTTTCATTTTTTTATTTCCAGTAATATTATTACACATAATTCAGGACTAAAGAATTACAAACACAACAAGAAGTGAGAGCTAGGCTGAATGGTCTACACAGAGTGGGATATCACTAAGGTTCTAAAGGTTTCCTGAGAGATTATGCAATCAATAGGGCAAGGTAAAGTGTAAACTAATAATATTTAATTCAATTTAACTAGATTACTAACAAAATATAACCAAAATAACTAATTCTAAATTACAATGACTTCAAATTCCAAAATAGGTTTATTTCATGCTGAAAAACAAAATAAAGAGAATTTCAATATTCAAGACTAATGAAAGAATAATTTGAGTTTCCAAAATGCATCAAATGGATCAAGAATCAAATATGATTCATCAACATTTTATGATCAAAGTAGCAAAGCCTTCAATTTTTAAGCACAAGAGAATCAAAACTATCAATTTTGTTAAGGCATAAAAGAAATGAAATCCGACGCTAGGTTAGGTAAGCTTTAATATAATTAATTTTATTTGTTTTTCTTCAAAGCATACAAGACTTGTCTCTCCATTTTGCGAGAGCTATTCTTTTTATAGATTTTTGTTCGTTCTAACCACTAGCTATTCTATAGGTCTATATTACGGGTCTTTACGGGTTAGAATCGGGCAGAGTATAGTTGAGTTTACAAAAGGACGTGGCTTCATTATTATGAGTGCGAAAATAAGAATTAATTAAATGTCAATTGTTACGAGTAGTTAATAATAACAAAAACAATAAAAGGAATTATACGTGCAACATTAAAGTATGAATGTTATAAGAATTTCGCAAGGATTTCTTTGGATCAAAGGTAATTGTCCGATGGGTTTGTTTGTGTTTCGTTGCTATGTTCACGTTCTTGGGGATGCCAATAAGGAATTTCTGTGAGAATTCGGGCGGTTAGTAGAGACAATGCTAATATTGATACCACAAGGTAGGAATTTTGTACATGTATGAATTTTTGAAGCGAAGCAATTATTCTATATTAGGGCACAAAGACTTGGATTATCGGACACATTGGTATCACGGGGTTTCTATGTATCACAGGCTAGCTTCATGAAATTATTAATCGCGGCAACAATACATGTATATTGTAGGGGTGTGTACAGATAGACATATTTTTGTTATTGCTACGAATCAACACAATAGATACATCATTAGTCGATGAACCGGAGGGAGATCAATTTTGATTATCCAAATTATCCAAGACAGCGAGAATGTTTCAGTTTCGTTTTTTTAATAAGAACTACCCCGTAATTTTTATTCTTAGTTTTCTACAAAATCATTTGTGGGAATATTTTACTTTTACTAATGACGAAAATTATAGAATAATAATAAATATAATTACTAATAACATTTGATATTAGTTATAATTTTTTATTAATACAATTATTATATAGGCATTTAGTAGAAAAAAATATAAAAAGAAACACCGAACGACTGTTCACGTTCTAGATAATATTCACAATATACAAATAATAATGTTCCATAAAACAACACAATGTACGCTCTATATTCCTATTACTTTCATAATACGCTCATAAACAAATATATGGGACTCGACGCTTATGGCTTGGGCAGTGTAGCACCTTGTATATTATAATCGGACAATAGATTTTTGTATATTAAACTTTATATAATGGACTTTTGTAGATTACAATGTTACATCATATATTCGAACAATGTATTTTTATATATAGTAGTTAATTATCCCTTTCCGCATCATAATTTCCCTAGTTTCGTTGCAAAAAGTTTAAACATTTGAAAACAAACCTAGATTTTTTACCAATTTCGAAACGAAATGATTGCATTCTATTCTAATTTAATTGTCATTGATTTGATATCTTATGGGATGGAACATTTTAAATGGACAATAGGCTTGTAAGCATTTTTTGGACATTGGGATTATAAATATACATGGATTTTTTCGTAGATGGATTGTGAACATATGAATGTTTATCATACATGGGGATAATATATGCTATATATTTATGTATTGTACTAAATTTATAATGAAAGATGCATTGAAGTTTCTGAAAATATCTACCAATTTTTCTGAACATTTTTATAGATCACACGTCCGAAGATGTTATATGTGAGATGTGATTCTTGCGCGATTTCATGAATAATATTTACCAGTTAACTATTATAATGTTTTGCTAATTTTCATGTTTATTTCCTGAAAGTTGATATTGCGAGAATAAAATTAAAAATAACATATATAAATTAATGAATTAATGAATACCAATAAGTTGGTCAAGCTATCGCTAAATGCAAATCGAAGGACATCACTAAATTGAGTGTGATTGAATTGCTAACTTGTGGTCTCGCATAACACCCTATATTACTATTTTTTATAGTATACCAGAGACCATTGGATTTTATAAGAAAAAGTTGTCACCTGTATACTATAAAAATTTGATGAATAAACTTTTTTCATAAATTATTAATTTGCATAAATAATTTGTGGTTCATCGATGAGTTCTACTGTAATATAAAAACACACATTAACTTCAACAAGAGAACGTGTTAATTGTTCTTTCTTTTTAGAGCTATCTATTGCAGTTAAATGTTATTATTGTAAGTGATTTTAATAGTTCCAATTGTAAACAAAATAATCAATCCATCGCTATGATCATTATAAACTGAAAATATCGTGCCACCACCGCGAGGCTACCATACACTAAATGAAGTACTAGACATAAATTTACACATGAGATAAAAAATTTTGCTATTATAGGGGATTTCACAGATGTTCTGATAGACAATTTTGCTATTATTACGAATAAGACACAATAGAGATGGGAGAGAGCAAAAGCTGTAAGCGAATTTTTCGATAGGAATTTCACAAAACTGAAATTTAGGAAAAAACGCTCGATAAAACGAAAAACCTGGGCTAACCAAAGGAGATCAAGAGTCGATTGCACATAAATTATATACATGTACTTGATATTCAAAGAATATAAATATGTTTTAATAATTTTTTTAATCTACCCCGTAATCTTTTGTTCTTAGTATTCTATCAGATCATCGGTGGGAACATTTTACAAAACTGATAGAATAATAACGATAAATATTATTATTAATGACATTTTGATATCGATATTGGTATTAATTATTTATGTAGTCGAAAGCAATATAAAAGGAACCCACCCGACATTACAAATAATATAATATACAAATAATAAAATCCATAAATACAAATAATCATACTTTTGATAAAACAATGCATCGCTCTATATTCCTATTTCCTTCATCAATATCCTAATAAAGAAAAACTTAAAATCTTGGTACTTCATATACTATAGAGCATACATGGGACTCGACGCTTAATGGTTTGGTTGAGACCGCTTACTGCGATGGTTGGGGCAGTATGGCAATGAACCTTTGTATATTATATTCGGACAATAGAATTTTATATACATGTATTGCATTCGAACAATAGACTTTTGTATATTAAACTTTGTATAACATCAAACAATGATCTTTTGTATATTATATTAATATCAAATCATGAACTTTTATATATAGCGTTCGAACAATAGAATTTTTTGCATATATTCGAACAATGGACTTTTCGTATATAGTATTTAATTTCATTCTAAAAGTTTAAAACATTTAAAAATAAGCCCAAAGTTTTTTTTCTTATGACACAAACACGCATCACAAATGACGCCAACACAACGACACCAAAAAAAATACATCAATGGTTTCTGATCGAGACTTCGTAAAAAATTTATTATCAATTTCCAAATGGTTGTGTTCAAAAGATTCGATTTTAATTTGACTGTTTCTTTGAAATTGTTGTCTTATGGGATGGATCATTTCCAATTGTAGATATGGGAGTGAATTTTTCGTAGATAGATTGTGAACATTGAAGGTTATAAATATACATGGACTTTTCGTAGATAGACTGTGAACATTAAGGTGTTATTTATACATGGACTTTTGTGAATATTTATGTATTGTACCGAAGTCATTATATTCAATATTAATAAAAATAAAGAATATCTTCAATTGTTAAAAAAATAATTTATTCAATGAGAAAAATCATCGATGAAAGTAAAAGTTTATTTATATCATCTAATCGAATTATTATTAATTCAATGAAAATAAAATCTTTCCCCTTTTTATTTGATTTTTTCAGACAGTTTTCAATATGATGATATTATTCGTTTATGATCTTTAAAATTTAGTTTTTAGAAATATCATAGTCGTTGTTAAAGAAACATAAACGAAAATTAGGATCAATATGATAAATTTCCCTTTATTTGCCTCGTATAAAACCATACTTTTAGACGTCGCATCAAAATTTATATTATTTCTAGAGTCACATGTAAACAAGATTTAATTAAACTTAATATTTTAATAAAAAGAACATATACAGCAATACATAGTGATTTTACCTTGATATTGATTTTGAAGTTATGATTCGACTCTTGTAAATGGCATTTGGATAAATTAGTTGTATGCTTTTCTGCAATTTCACCTCCATATCAAGTTTTTTCCATCATGGCTTCTCTAATTTAAGACACTCTTTAATTTCTTCATTAAAGAGCTGAAATATTGAAAATGCAAAGTATTTGGTTCGTAAATGTATTAGCACCTCTGTACTCATATATGGACTACTCCACAAATTTTTCGTTGAGATTTTTCTATATTCGCTGGAATGCTAAGTCAAAAATCAGCAATTTGAGGGTATCTCTTTGTTTTACTTACATGAATATGAAGTAGAGTAAAGTTCGACATCACTATATTTCCAGGATGCAGGTCACAATGAACAAATCTCTTTTCGTGAATTGTTTTTAGATTTTTAATTACATCCTATAAATATTTTAATTTTTTTTCTCCCCGTCAATTTTTTTCGTAATTAAAATTAATATATTTACGGAGATCCATAACGATAAGTCATAACAATCAAGTACTTGTATTCATCTTTAACTGAGTTTTTAGTTATTCCGTAACAATTTAAAAAACATCAGAGCAGCATTTAAGCGCAGTCTGAATCTATATTTGAAAAATTTTGATTAGATCAGAAAACAAAAAAGTAGCACGCTATGCATATTCATGTACTTAGAATATGTTCGTTTTAAAAATTCTGGAGTAATTTGTTTTGAATCGTGTAATGATTTCAACACAATTTCGAATTCTCCTATTCGTTTAAATTTATTTTCCTCATGATCCCATTTGTGAATTGGTCCATCCAACCAGGTTTGTCTCAAAACCTCCTTTTTCAAGATATCCATCGTTGGTAAACCTTTCAAAAGGGATCATTCAAATAATGCATCTTTTTTAATTTCGTTGCATCCTTTCACTGGATTGTCGGGATATCTTTATCTCCGCTAGACCATTCACTCATAAAGATTAGCTTGTGATAAAAGAAACATTCAGAGCAATATTCATACAACGTCAACATTTACTGCAATCATGAATATTCGATTCCATCTTTGATTCACTTTATTAAATGCGTTTACACCAACTTACAACATGAATTAATAGAAAAACAAAAAAAAGATGTAATGATTAAATTCTATATGAATGATGTGTGGCAAGAAGCTTCTATTTGAGTGTTTACATGTATTTTTCTTATTGTCATTCATGGGGAGTGTTGTGCTAGTATCCAAGATCAATGTGTGAATCTAACTTTTTGTGTTATAATAAAAAATGTTTCTTACGGGATTTTATTGCATACTTCACGAATAATAGACGATATTATAATACATTTGAATGAGGTTGGTATATATTTTAAAAGGTGTATTTTACCGTTACGGTATTTTATATTGCTATCGTTATTATTATTATTATTATGAACCCCTAAATTGATTCTGCGTTAACGTTAATAACGTCAGAATTGCGTGAACTTTGAAGAGTATAAGAAATCATAGTATACTGCTAACTTACGCTCGATTTTTGTTTTGTAAAGTGCAGACTTTTGTTACTACATGTGTTATAATTGACTGGTCATGAATCACTGCATACCGATGTTTCCGATGTTTTTGCATACATAAATAAAACATTTACTTTGCACAAAGAGTTCTTATATCAAAAACGTAATTTTTTATGAAATCCATAACAATGATTCTTTTATTTATCATTTCAATACATTTAATTGGCATACACTCATAGAAAAGAAGAGCTACAATTGAATTCAATTGGAGTAAAAAATTGCATCACATTTGGAAGATAGCAATCCCATATGGACATATAATACCAACGCTGCGTGATAAATTAACTGTACGGTGTGTACGTAATTGGATATTCTAATATGAATGAAATTAAAAGTTTACCTATATTTTGAAATCTGTTAATTGGATCTTCCTACCAGTTTCCAATAATGCTTTATTATTCGTTTTATTATGATCTTTGAAAATTATAGTTACCATCGTGCGTTGTTAAAGTAACATAAACGAAAATTAAGACCAATTACTGTGACATCAAAGTTTACCTTCAATTGTTTCGTTTTGGACATATGAACTGGCTTCGATAATTATATCATATTCAGTAGTTACATATTCTAGAGCTACATGCGAAAAATTATTTTTTAATATGTAAACTTTATATTTTAGAATCTTATTACTGTTTACGGCAATCAATAATATAGTGATTATCGTCTTCATTCGGATTATTAGAATATACAAATTGACACTTGTAGAACTAATATTCGATATAAACTCTTAATTAATTTGAAAGTTAAAATATTTTATATTTAGAAACAAAAATTTATCAGTTTGAATTACAATCAACTCGATAGTAAAGGTTTAACTTACGTGAATGGCATTTGGGTGGATTTGTTGTTTTTGTTTATGTTCATGGGAATGACTTTTCTTTTTCTGTTTTAGGATATGCTGAAGATGCAAAAGATTCAGTTCCCACTGATCTCTATCATAGTTAGAGTAAGTAAACCGGATAAAGCCTTCAAGTTCCAATTGGTATGTTTTTTGAATAGGATCCAACATTTTCAAACAATAGATTTGCACCATCCGAGATTACTTCTTCATAGATGGAGTCATTCCATAGATTTCTTGGTTAGTTTTTCTATATTTGTTGGAATGGTAAGTCCAAATCAGCAATTCGAGGAATATTAAATATTACCAGGATGAAAGTCACGATGCACAAATTTCTCTTCGTGAATATTTTGAATGATTCTAGAATTTTAAGATAATAATATTTGTTATAAAAAGTATAAAAATCTTGAATAGAGATTAGAGTTGTCAGATATTTTTTAATTTTTCTTTTGATTTCTTGTAGAGATTTATATCAGATCTCTTTTCATATATCAGTATATTTGATACAAAAGATGAACTTCTTAACTATTATAATATTATAATATTATAATAAATAAGTGTTATCAGGTTATAACTAGTTACAATCTTAGTAATTTTGAGTTGCAATATTATCATTATGATAAATAGAGTATTACTGTGTTATAATAGTTATAGCATCACTACTTGATACATAAATTAAATCTATTTTTGAGTTATCAGATTTCTTGTATTTATCATATAACTATATCTAAGAATTTTATATATTAATATAAATAATCTAGTTATATTAATTATTATATAAAATACTGAAATTTAGTTATTTATCTTATTTAATAAAGTATAGGATTTGCATAAGATCAAAATATATTTCATATATTTTTTTCTTTCTTATGTATATTACTATAAATAAGAAAAAATTCTAAATATTAGAAGAAAATTTTTAAATATTAATCTAATGTAAAGATAATTTTAATCAAAATTTTAATGCTATTAAGTACTTAAATTTTAAATTTATTATAAAATAAGAAATTTTTAAAAATTCATAAATTTTTTGGTATATGTAATACAAGAATTAACATATAATCTATAAAATTTGGCTTGATCACAATTTGTTTGCTAAGAAATTCCTGAAACATATAAAGTATAAATGCAGCATACCAATATAACTTATAATCTATTATTATTTTTCAAAATCTGACTCTATTAGCTTGTAAACTAAGTTTAAGCTCTTTAAAACTAAAAGAATTTTTTAAAATTATATAGAATTTTAATTCTATTTTAAAGTTGACTATATTTATTGGATCCAATTAGGCTTCCTGCACCAATAGATAAAAAACATATTTAATGTATAACAAGCTCGAATAATATTTAATTTCAAAAATAAATTAACATTAATACAGTTTTATAAGTTCGGAAATGTCGGTATTTTGGGCCCATCGAGATTTTAGGTATTCGAGACTCTGTAAGTCGAGATTTTGATAAATCAGGATTTAGGCGCCGGGATGTTTTAAGTCGGAATTTTGTGAACTTTGGGATGTTGGGAAGTCGAGATTTTGGGAATGTTAAGATGTTGGATTTGGAGTAGATCCATTAAATTTGATATACAGTGCGTTACAAAAAAAACCATAATTACTATTTTTACTTATATTCAATGAATATTTATTTAATTCATATAA